AAAGAGGAGCGGGTCTAGATAGGCCTTGCTGCCGTGTAGCCTCCACATGTTCATGGCAGGCCACAGATCAGGACCCTTGAGCTCTGAAGAGGTGTCACATGACTGCCCGCAGGGATGGAGTCTGTCTGCGGCTGTGTTAGAGGAAGTCCCGCTGTGACTCCTGGCCAACATAAAACCCAAACCCTCTTGAGGGAAGTTCCCCTCCGCTGCAGCTCTGTGACCTCTGTGCTGGAAAACAGAGACATTCTTGTTCTGCACAATACTTCTGGATGAAGTAGCTGGGGCACTGGAGCTTTTATCTCCCCTCTCCCCAGTGCGGTGGTGTCCACTTGACTTCTTTTGAGGTAGGACTCCCCCCCTACCACTGGCACATGTCCCTTCTGAGGAGTCCTTTGATGAGTGCTTGGACTTAGAAACACCTGACTGGGTTTTGGACTGAGACTGCCGGACTGAGCAGGTTGAGTTCTGGGGGGTCGAGGTGCTTTGGCTCTGTGAGCGCTGAGTTCCTGGAGCAGGACAATCCTTACCCTCCAGGAAAGGGGGAGGCCCTGTACGTCTCCACTGGGAGACCCCTGCCTTTAGACTTTTGTAATAGTTGGTGCATGGTGCCCACTTGGGGGCCATGGAGCTGCTGCTATCCACCTTATGGGCCACACACTGATGGATCCACAGTACCTCTGGGTAGGTACTGCGGTGTGAGCAGTAGGGACACTGATGCGTCAGCAGACCCTCTGTTTTTATTGGATGATTATTGGTGCCTTCCTGGGCAGTTATTGCAGAAAGATTGAGAAGGTTGCCGCTGTCATCAGGGCTCTGTCCCTGCCCTTTGACCCCTGTTGGTTTTTCTGTTTTAATGTACATCTCTGCTGGTGCCTGGCCCAGCTGACAGGTGACAGGGTTCCAGTATGGCTGACTGAGGAGCACGCTCCTGCTTCTGAGGTAGTCCATATATTTGGAGGAACTACTCTGATTTATAGTGTCCACGACGCTGTGGGATGCCAGGACATCCTGGTGGTGTCTGTGCTGGTGAGACCTCAGTATTGATGTGTCAAAGGTCTGGAAATCACAGTGCTCACAGAGGTAGGGCTTTTGATCTGTCCATACAAACAGAAGAAGAATGAAAGAAGTTAAAAACACAGAAGGTGTATTTTTTACTTTAAAATCAATGAACCATAAAACCAAACAAAAACTATGCATTTGTTTTTCAGCAGTGGTAAAACACTTTTAAATCCACTAGAGGGCTCTCTTACCCACAATCTATAATGTTTCTAATCATGTATGGAGGTCATTAGTCCATGGTGGCCCAGCTGATGGACTTAATAACCTGGTGGATTGTTCAAAAGAACAAGAACATCTCTACCTTTGATGGAACTGAACATTCTGTTCTTTTAATGTAGCGCCAACAGCACCAGCACCAAGACTTTATTCATATTTTTAGATGTTTTCAACCTAAGGATTTTTGTTTGTCCTACCTTTATGTAAATGTTTATTTTTATTTATGTAATTAGTTAGTTAGTTAGTTAATTTTTAATTAGTTAGTTTTTATGTATTTAGTTTATGTAATTTTTTTTATCTAAAAATTAATGTAAATGAGAAAAGAAAATTGATCCAGTTTTCCCATGAGTATTTAAAC